AGAAAATCTAAGACTTTTAAGTGCGCCTTATGGTCGTGAAAACACGGTATGTAACTTTTACTCTGAGTACATTTTAAATGAGCTACTTTTTACTTTTACTTGAGTACATTTTTAGACAGGTAATTTTACTTGTACTTGAGTAAAATTTCAGCAAAGTAATGGTACTTTTACTTGAGTAAAATATTTTAGTACTCTTTCTACCTCTGCACGCGTATATAAAACAGGTCCGCGGCTCCGAACCGTAGTAAAGGGACCTCTGGCTAATATGTCGGGTTCCGCGTCGGTCTCATAGCCGAAAACTAGCTTTACTTTATGTCTCGGTCAACTTTGCTAGCGAGAGACAGAGAGAGGCGTTGAAAGGCTGCTCCAATGGAACTTATTTTTTTCGGAGGAAAACACGAAAAAAGTGTACAGCCGAGTCTTAATAGCTTACTTATAACTGGGCTCGTCAGGCACTCTTTTTGGCTGCAGTGGTTATTATTATATTTGCATGCTTCCAGCTCCCGTTTCTGCTCGGTGACAGCTCCCTCCCTCGCTCACAGACACATAACGGGTACGGCAGTCCATTCTCCCTGCAGAAGGGACTACACTGTCCATGAAGCTACATTCTTTATGGCTGTGCCTGTAACACTCTGCCTATTGCCTTCATATTAAATCATTTTTGTGAATAATTTTTAAAAATATTTCTTCACGTCATTATGTGGGCCGCAAGTAGAGGTGACATGGGCTGCGAGATTGAGACACAGGCCTCTTAATGCGTGTTTTGTTTGGGGTATGGAAACCAAAAATAGAGAGGGCATAGCCGAACATATGAAACAGAAAAATACCGCCGTGTAATCACTTTATTTCAGTAACTGTATTCTAAGTACCACCTTTTTAAATGGTAACTAACGGAATACAGTTACTCATATTTTGTATTTTAAATACGTAACGGCAGTACATTAATTCCGTTACTCCCCAACACTGGCCAGAACCAGGTGTTCCCTGCAAGATTTCAAAAAGAGGAGTGAAAAAAAAATATCAGAAAAGTTGTCCAAGAACCATGGACCACTAGTGGAGAGCTAAAGAATGACCTGAAATCAGCAAGTATAATTGTTTTAAATGAAAAAAAAAATGCCCTCAACTGCCAAGGCCTGTATGCATGCTCACCAAGCATCACTACATTGCTAAAGAAAACGCATGTTGAAACACAATTAAACTTAGTTGAGCAACATTTAGAAAAGCCTGTGAAAAACTGGGAGCATATATTCTGGTCAGATAAGAACAAAATTGAACTCTTTTGATGCCATAATACACACCATATTTTGAGGTTAAAAGGGAAAGCTTATCACCTCAAACATACAACCCCAAGAGTGAAGTTTAGAGGAAGGAACATCATGGTGTGAGGCCTGTTTTTCATCATAATGCACTGGCACCACTTATTTTAATTGAAGGAAGGATCAATGGAAAAATGTATCAGTGTATCAAGACATTGTTGATAAAAAATCTGCTGCCATCTAACAGGATGACGGGGATGAAATGAGGGTGGATGTTTCAGGAAGGCAATGATCCCAAACACACACTCAAAGAAACTCTCAACTGGTTTCAGAGAAAGAAAAAAAAAACTGATAGAATCCTGCAGTCAATTACCTAACCTGAATCCAATCTCATCTATGGAAAAGAAAAAGAACCTTAAGGATTTGAAGCCAATGCGTACAACTTGTGCAAAAAGTAGCGGCTTATAGCCCGACAATTACGGTAACTTAATTTAGGGATATCAGTGCCTGATTTCTTTGCATGTGTGAACTGGATGGGTTGTTACCAACTTCTGGTAGTAATTCATGTCAACATCTCATGTCAACAGCAACTTTAGAAATATATATACAGAAGACTGGTGACGTGTTCAGTATTTGTTTTACCCACTGTATATACAGCTTATTTCTCGTAACCTTTTGTTTTCTTTTTGTTTGTTTTTTTAGTTTTTTGCAATTTGCCTTTATTGGATAGTGAAAGTGAGGAGAGGGGGAAGACACACAACAATCCCCACTATCCTGCAGTCTGCTCTAGCTAATAGCTAATTTTACTTTGCTTTAACTAAAGAATTGTTTCACTTTGTTCTCTTGGGAAACACACACAGCAACGTTTCCTAGCCTGAGTTATATAGTTTATAATGCTTAGCTTAAAGTGATTGCATGGATATGTTCCTGTACCTTCCTTGCTGCAGTGTTCTGAAGCACTCCGTGGATGCCACCTTTGAAGACCAGGGTCCCAGTCCAGGCTATCGGATAGAAATGTCAATCTTCTACGTGGTCTACTTTGTCGTTTTCCCCTTCTTCTTTGTCAACATCTTTGTTGCTCTAATCATCATCACCTTCCAGGAACAAGGAGACAAGGCCTTGTCTGAGTGCAGCCTAGAAAAAAATGAGGTAAAGAGCTCAGAAGTATTTAGTATTACAATATGTTCATTCATTCATTTATTTGTTCATTTCAGGCACAACAAAATACATATATTGAACATAAAGTGCACAAAACAAAAAACAAAAATTACCTGAAAAGGAGTGGGACGAAGAAAACTTATTAAATCCCACCCCTATACTCACTCATCAACAAAAAACAATAAGCTTCCCACAGCTACGCCCATCGTTACAACCAAACAAACCATCAACAGCCCCGGGCACATGCAAGCATCTCAACGGCAGCTCGCAAACAACAATCAGAACCAACATAACTAAATACAGAATATATAATAATTATAAATTACCACAGGTAACAGGCAATAATAATTACATAGTGACAAATATACATACATACATTTATTAAATCTACACACACATGTACATATATGTACATACATACGCACACACTTTTTTTTTTTTTTTTTGGAATCATACCAGCAATGGTAAGAGAACAGACATTACAGAGCACACTAAAACCATCATTGAGTATACTGTGACCAGACCAACTGTTTGTAGAGGAATTTAAATCTATGAATATTTTTGCATTGTTTCAGTAGTAAACTCAGACTGTTCCAGATTTTCACACCACATAGAGACACACAAAAACCTTTACGGGTTGTTCAATTTCTGGGTAGTTTGAATTCCCTGAAGCCTCTCACATTATAAACCCTTTCTCGAATTTCAAATATAATTTTTAAATTTGTAGGTAGAAGTTTATTAAAGGCTTTGTATAAGATTATAGATGTATTGTAATTAACCAGATCCTGGAATTTAAGTAACTTTGCCTGAAGAAAGAGTTTGTGAGTATGATCTAGATAACCAGCCTTGTGAATAATACGCAGTGCTCGTTTCTGTACTGTGACTAATGGATTAGTTGTATTTTTATATGTGTTTCCCCACACTTCCACACAATATGTAAGATATGGAAGAACCAGGGTACAGTACAGAGTACGAAGTGCATCTTTATCAAGGTATGGTTTCACTTTGTTCAAAACTGCGAGGCTTCTGGAAATTTTGGGTTTTATGTGTCTGACGTGTGGTTTCCATGAAATTTTGTTATCAATTATGACTCCCATAAATTTGTTTTCACTCACATTATCAATGGGTACACCTTCAATGATAATTGGTAATTCAATATTATATTTTAAATTACCGAAATCATTGCTTTAGCTTTATTTATATTTAATGATAATTTATTTATATCCATCCATTTTTTAAATTAATTTTAGCTCCCTGTTTACGGTCATTACAAGATCAGTGTAATCATCGCTACTGAAAAATATGTTGGTGTCATCTGCGAACAGTATGAGTTTAAGTACTTGAGAAACAACAAAAATATCATTTATGTATACATTGAAAAGTTTTGGTCCCAACACTGACCCTTGGGGAACACCACATGTAATACCAAGTTTCTCTGAGTGGTAATGCTATAATTCAGAAGATATTTTTGTTATTTAAGTGATTTTTTTGTTTTGAAGACTTGGGTCTTGCCATCTGAAATCAGCACAAAAACCAAACTAACCAAAGTTTGGTTTTGTATTGATCATTTTAGCCTCAATTTTTTATGCATTTTTTAAAAAAAAGGCTTCCACCCACTTTCATGCTTTTTTGTTGTTGTTGCTGTTTTTTAAACAAAAGACAATGTTAGAACATGATCATCTCAAAAACTATTAAAAAGGTTGAAATTTTCACTGATCTTTATTTCCATCAAAATGAATCAGTATTTGTGATAGAGGCATCAAAAACTGTCTGAACATTTAAAATATATAAAAAAAATCAAGCAATCCCGTAAAATCCCCATGTGTGATAACACATAAATAATAAAACTACACATTGTGAAGGAGAACTAATGATAACTTCTGGATGTTATCTAATATCATTTAAAAATAAATTTAAAAAATGTGTCAAGTTTATTTCTATAACATATTTAAAAACAACAGCTGGTGACCAAAGTGCTGTGTGTCAAACATAATCAAATAACAAGGCATAGGACAGAGTGCCCAATGTGACAGATAGTTAGGGATGGGAATATGGGGGTTATACGGTCTTGCTCGTGTGTACCAGTCAATAAGCAGTGGAGCATATAAATTTAAAAAAAAAAGACTGGGGGACCCCCATGCGTGTTTTTTTTGTATTGTTTTTGTTTTGTTTTTTTCAGGAAAATGTATCCCCAGCCTAACCGGAAAACAAATCTCACTACTATACTAAAAAAGTAAAAAATATCAGTAGATAGTCTAACCCGCAGAGAACAACATTTTAGAGTTTACAGATGGTACATCTGTTATAAGTGAGAAAACAATGTTTTTAAATATATGCATATTTTTCATTTTTAAAACCTACTCTATCCACCTACCATTTTCACACCTACTGCCACGGAGGAGTCTGATAATTCAGATTAAGGTTAAAATATACAAAGATGTATTACAAATACAATCAGCATACTGATCCCCTCTTGCCAGTTGTGGAATTAGGGTTAAAGTTGGGTCACGAGGTCAGGGCGTTAGGGATTCTGTTTAGGAGTTAGGGACATCATCTTATCTCACTCCTGATCATGCCATTGTCATGCATTGTGCTGTGGCAGGCAGAATGTGGACCCAAATGCAGGTTTCAACACACACAGGGATAACTCAAAGAGGCAGCTTTATTTGCTGTGAACATCCATGCAAAGAAAACACAAAACATAACCTAAACAGGAAACTAAAACTAGGGAGCTAGAAAAACAAGAAACTGGGGCGGGGAGTTACCTAGGACCACTCAGGAAAGACCACAGGAGAGACACACAGTTAAATGACGATACCAACGCGACAACGGACAGAGAAAAACACAGGCAGAGAAAAACACAGGGCTAAATACACAAGGGAGTAACGAGAAAAGTAGAAACACAGGAGGAATACAGCTGGGAAAGATCCAATGTAACAAGATGGGGAGGAAGCAAAACTTAATACACTAACATAGGACATAAGACTATCAAAGTAAAACAGGAAACAGGAGACAGGCACAGAAGGATGGACTTGTAAATGAACAACATAGCTATATTGAAAAAATAACTTTCTGTGTTATATCTAGAATGATTAATATATGTATAAATTTGGCTTGTGTTGGTTGACTGACCTAAATAATAAACTTCTGGCTACTAACCTTATTTAAATATGAAATATTTTAAAAAATATTTCATATTTAAATAAGGTGCCGGTGCTTAAACAGTGCTCGAACCGGTGCTTAAAGAATGGAGAACACAACATTGGTCCAAAAACCTCTCATGTTCAGCTGTTTTTTTGTAAAAATATAACAATGTTAGCCTTTTCTGCAGCTATGGGGCATATATGGCATCACTCTTGACTGGAAGCAGCGCTTAAACAATGGAAAAAACACAAACTTTGTCCAAAAACCTCCCATGTTTAGCTGTTTTCCTCTTATTCTTTGGTCATTTTAGACTTTTTGGCCAGGGTGAAGGGAGTATCGTTTGCTAGTTCACCTTACATGCATTAATTTAATAATGTGGTTAGCCTACTCAACGTAAATTACACACGAACAACATTAAGCTACTCACACAGAGAAGAACGGCTGCTGCTGCCATCATCATCCGTCATCATTTCTGCTACACTGGCAGGGCTAGGGGGCAGGACTCTCCTCTTCGGGTTTTTGGGGGATGTTGCTAACTTCGGCTCCGAAACCAGGCAACCCACCCGCAGTAGATGTGCTCGGTGTGAGGTCTCGCAGCAAGCTATCAAATACGGCGCATTTCTCGGCTTTTAAAAAAAACGCTATGCATTGCCAGGTGTTTCATCAGATTTGAGGTGTTACCTCCTTTGACAGTATCACAGTATCAGCTTAAAGCACTTATTGCAGGCTGCTGAGTTTGCATATTTTGCTGTGAAGTACAGCCAGACTTTTGACAGCTTCGCCTTGGGCATTTTTAATCTGTAGCTCTGCTCTAAAAGAACGTACCTGGGCCCGCCTACTATCCTCGGAAACGTAAAATGATTGGCTAGAAGTGTATCACAGCTCAAGAAAAAAAAGCACCAAAATGTGCGCTGCTTTTCGGTCTGGTTGCTACCGTTTATGTCAGAACCGGTGACACCGGTACCCATCCCTAGTGGGAACATGTCTTTAAGTGGTGAAGACAGCCGCACAAAAGTTAGGATTTTCGTTTGAAAACGCATGGTTTTCTCTCTGTTTTGACCTTCCATCCACACTTAGACAGCGTTTTCGCTCATGGAAAACACAGCATTTTCAAAACGCTCTCGAAAACGCATACATTTGAAAACGGTGCTTTCGCGTCACAGTGTGGACAGCGAAAATGGAGACTTTCTAAACAGTGACGCATGTCAGTCATATGATGCAGCTATGTGACCAATTAAACAAAGACAACTGAGGGCATTATACAGCAGTTGTTTTGTTTGCTCTCAATTTTGACAGCCCTCTTAAAGATTAATATCAGTCTGTACATGCTCCAGATAGCTTTTCTTCAAATTCTTTAATTTTCACTTGCTTTTGCAACTTTGTACTTTTGTGTTACTCGCAGCAACAACTTCACCTCATTGTTAATCCATTTTAAAAACTCTGTGGTTTTCCTCAACATTTTGCCGGGACGTTTCAAAGAGCCAGAAAGTAAATAAACGGCAGACAGAAATGAGGCAGGTCGCATGCGCAGTACTGGAACGTAAGCATTTTCAATGTGGAAGCGCAACTCTGTGAAAACAACTGACAACGCTAGTGTGGGTGCGGAGCGTTTTCAGACAAAAACGCTGTTTTCAAATCTATATGGGCTAGTGTGGATGTAGATAGAGAAACAGACAACCATTTTCACTCACATGGGCAATTTATCCCCAGTTAACCTAACTCCACTAACTGCCTGTCTTTGGACTGTAAGAGGAAAATGGAGCCCATGAAGACCACTGTGCTGTCCTATATTTGATTTTGTAAAGCTAATAACTAAGCTGAGACATTTTTAAGGCAAATTGGAAATGGTTTAACAGAAATGTTCTAAAATTTTGATGATTTCAGATGGAATGACCAAGGTCTTAAATATAATCTGCTGCTAAGAGCCATAAGACACTTTCAAAATCTTAAGAGGTCCATGCGTTGATTGGTCAAATTGTCTTGGTAACATTTGGTAAACATTATTAAGGGTATGGCCACTGACCACTATGTATTTGTTGGTTCAGTATTTTCTCCTTATCTGGCTTCTGTGACTAAATATGCATATTTTTGTAATACATTATTTGTAATATATACCTGTTCTTGGTTAATTTTACTTAACAATGATCCAGTTTTAGCATCTGGGACCTAAATAAACTGTTACCCAAAGTTACAAAATGAAAAAAATGTGGTGTTTGTGCCTAAATAAAATATTTAATTATTTCTAGCAAAGTCAGGCTTTTATCCATACAAAACAGAGTACTGAAGTTCCATTCAAATGATAAAAACAGTAAAGCAGATATGTATTTTTATTTTGTTGCAGAGGGCATGTATTGACTTTGCCATAAACGCCAAACCACTAACACGTTACATGCCTGAGAACACACAGTCCTTCCAGTACAGGATGTGGAAGTTTGTGGTATCAGCTCCGTTTGAGTACTCCATCATGATCATGATTGCTCTCAACACCGTGGTACTCATGATGAAGGTAAGAAAGCATATGAATAATAAAATACACATACAGGTGGTTTAGCTTTAGGTCACGTGTTCATGAATCATGAATTCATGAACATGTGTTTATAGACTTTTATGTCTTTAGTGTTATATATGAAGTTACTGGTAGCAATCATTAGCAGGGACAGTTGGATGCTCTGGCCAAAAGTAATAAAATCCTCCAGCTGCTAACTTTAATCTCGCTGATTCACTTAGGTCATGTCTTTTATAAAATTCTTCTCTTTTTACTA